ATGGTTAAGTTGAGAAAAGAGAGAACTTGAGACAACTCTTTATAACTCAAATCGAAAGTACAAGTGAATGTAGGTTTTGCATTATAAGCAGCCAAACTACTTTGAAAATCTCATTTTATTCTTTGTATTTTGTGCTTAATTGTTGTTTATATGTAATCGTTTTGTTCAATCACTGATCCATTAGGATTACGCAAATATTTGATGTTATTCTAACGTTGTCTGTCATGTACCTCTCGTTGTTGCGATTTATTGCATCAACGAAAGTCATGAGCAATATATCTTACAAATATAATTAAGATTTCTTGAATTCATGAGAAAATATTGAATACAAGACAAAACAATTTTGAAATAAACAAATACAAAATAATTTTGAAAACCATGAAATCTGTAGTATAATAAATCTATTTATTAAAGAAGGTAAATCAATAATATTGAATATTCTGAATTAAACAATAACTTCCTCTACAAATCCTGAAGCAAATAATTTTAAAATATAAATTCCAAAATTGAACTCTTAGTAAATATATGAAATAAACTTAAAATTTAAAATAAAAAAGGATTTTTTTTATAAGTGGTTTTATAATAATAATGTTGACTTGTAACCATTCAAATATAATAAGGTGGTTGATGATGTAAAGTTTTAATTTTGTGTACTATGATGTGAAAATGAAAGAGATGAGGAGGAGGGTGTAGATGAATGAAAATTGAAATATACGTGGTTCTTGGTGAATATTGTTAATTTGATCATAAAGAATTTGTCAATTTGTTTCGAATATAGATTTCAATGGGTTAAAGGATTTTTAAATAGTCAAAGCTGGTCAGTAGGGGAATTCTTTCCGGATGAAGACTAATGATGGGTGAAATGATGACATTTTTATTAAACTAGGGGTTTGATGAACTTTGATCTAGATTTCCGCCTTTACTTAAATTTTTTTTTCATATTTTGATGTCCCATCAGTAAACATAACGTTTTGACGTTTTCAAAAATAATTTCTTGACCTCGCAAATTTAGTAGGGTCAGGTTTTGCTTGTGAGCAAAGCAACGTATTAAATACGAAACGAAAGAATCAATGTCAAGCTTTTCTTTTAGAGGCCTCACTCGTCAATGAGCGTCACCGTAGGGCAGATTAGTATTAGCCCTGTGCTGTCATGTTAATCCCTTAATGGTGGTAGACCTAGTGGTCCTGGTAGAAAGTTTTAGGTAGGTGGGGACCGGTTCTTTAAACAAGATAAAACAATGAAATTGCTTTAGGAGAGGGTCCTACAAGTAACTTTGCATTTATTCTTTTCACGTTTCCGCTTCTTCGTTATCTTTAATTTCTCATTTTTCTCGCATTTTATAAAGAGAAATTGCTATTAATTATTGTTTTTATTAGCCTAAAATGAAAATTTTGATGAATCTCCTACGTTCAAAATTTTGTAATAATAACTATCATGGCTAATCTATCAGTTAATTAAAACTCTTGAATATATTATTTAAAAGATCATGATTCAATCCATCAGGATTGTTAATAAGAGTGGTTATTGAGGTGATTTACTCGGTTGTCAACTTCAAAACTCTAAAAGATTAATTAAAATATGTATAAGTTGGTCCAAACACTCAGATCACAAAAAAGAAAGAAAGAAAAAAAAAAAGATTTGTAATAATAATGCTGGCTGCAATATTACTTTTTTTTTAGGTAACATTTTTTTTTTTAACCCATGTGCATTATAAAGCCAATAACCTATATATACTATAGGTCATAATTGTTATACTACACCCTCTATTGGTATATCATTAATAATTAGATTATTTTGTGTCTTACATTATAATATACTTGTATGTGAATTTTGAGATATATTTTGCGATTTATAACATTATTAAAAAGAATATAGTTTCCTTCCTTCACAAATTTTGGTACCTATAAGATAAAAAATTTCCCTTAAATGAGAATTTTGGGTATAATATTTATTACATGTAACATTATTATTATTATTTTTCCATTAATCAACATGCTTTTTATACAAAGTTAAAATGAACGTGATTATATACTTGATTTCCTTGAAATCTAATAATGACATAATTTCATGCTACCTTGCTTTTATTTATATATTCTTACGAGGAAATGCTACAACTTAGGTGTATATTTGTTGGAGTTTATAAATTTCATAGAACTAAACAAGTATTCTTTTTAATAGGTTATTTTATTAATTTATTATAATTGTGGATGACTCCTAATCTAGATTTAATTATTAAAAATAATTATTTAATTATTTTTGGTTAAATAATATCATAAAAATATAACTAATCTATTATCAGAAATATTCATTTAATAAGTATTTAAATAATTAACTGTAAAAAAATGCTTATGTTTTACAAGCTCTTACATTAAACTACATTTTAGGTAAAAAAAAAAGATTGTTAATAGTTCTTGTTATTTGTTTGTGGCTATGTTTGTAATTTTCTTTTAAATAATAAACTAAAGTAATTTGTTAAATATATGATAGTGGTAACTTCGTAATATTCGGAGTGGTCTCAAGTATATGTTATATATGAAATAACATCAATAACACCATATCAGATGAAGACAACTTCTGACGGTGGTCCCAGTACATATTATATAATAGTAAACTAAAATATTTGCTCAATATTCGTAGTGGGCCCAAATTATGTATGAAAATAAAATAACGTCAATAACATCACGTCGGTTGGAGTGACAATTTCTCCTGGTGGTCCCAAGGAGTATTATATACTCCCTCTCTTTCAAAATAAAAATCATTTCGAAGGTAATAACTTTTTTTCAAAATAAATGACCGTCTCTTCATTTCAATGTTGACCCACATCTTCATTCTCCATCATGTCCCTCGTGTCCTCTTTCGACCTTTTTCTTTCCCCATCTTCTCATTTTACCTTTTTTTCTACCCTTCCCCACCCTGCTCTCTATTTATCTCTTTCCCTCGTCTTCTCTCTTTCACAATTTCTCGTATCTTTATTTTAATATTTCACACACGCGTGGGAAAAACGAAATTTTCCTACCTGCAATATGTGGAAAAAATCAATTCTCTGCATAGGATTTCACGCTAACATGGCTTTTGGAGATGCTGTCCTGTATTCATAGTTGTCGGACCATTCTTTTGTTGACGCAAGCGATTTGAAGATAATAGTCAAGGAAACTCGTCATAAGTTTCTCTCCTATTACGTCGCTGTCGGACAAGTTCGCAAGTTCGCATACCTCTAAACTGCCAATGTAAATGTTCTGGGCTGTAGTGCTCCGGTCCGGCTCCACAAGTATCTCTAGTTAAACGAATCGTATTATCTCTCATAAATTCAGTTACTATTATTTTCTTTACTTATTTTATCTTTGTTTTTCAAGTTTCTCTGTTCTTAATTCTGTTCCTTTTTTTTTTTTAAATCTATTTTAGGGGTATCTTTCACTTGAGCCATGAAAATTCGCGTGTTTGAGTTGATAATGCCGAAATCAGCTGCGCATCCTCCCGATCTATCTTCCGCTACTCAGTTTGAGGCTATGCGCTGGATGGATCTCAATCTTAACGGTGGTAACAGTATCCTTTGGGATCTTCGTCAATGATCCATCTATCTGGGGTCTTTCTTCGGACATTCCACCAACACGTTCTTCCCAGGTAGGTGATTGCAGAAAGTGCTTTTTTTTTTTTTTAAAAATTTTTAAATTTAAAATTTAGGAAATACTGCACAAACCATAGTTCCTTTATCAATTAATGGGTTTAAATTAATTTCCGAAAACTTTATACACCACCACCAGTTTGAAATTGAAGGAGTCAAAAACTACAAACCCAACCCCCCAAAAAAAAAAAAAAAAAAAAGGCTTTATCAAATTAGATCTAAAATTTAAATATGGCATTTAAAGTAATATCTAACGATATCTTTTAAAGTTAGAAAGATATGAAAAATAGATAAAGCAGTTTTATAATTTTTTTTTTAAATTGTTTAGAAAATCATTTTTGGATAGAAGATAAATCAATTGCATTTTCTTAAATTTCTTGTATTTTTTGTTATGAAATAAAAAGTTGTATCTAAAATTTTATAAAGAAAATATAAAAAAATTAGAAAAAAGCCGGGACTGCTTACTCAAATTCTCTCTCAAATTAGTCAATAGGATGATTCATTTGGGGTTGGTTGTTTTTACCATTTTTCACTTAAATCTATGTAGTTTAAGTCTTTGATTGTTAGTTTTTATTTTATTTATACAAATTATCACTTATTTTTAATGAATCACTTGATAATATTTTTTTGAAAAATAGTTTTCAGAAAAACATGTCGAATCCTTTTTATTGAAAGGAGTTTTTTGACAACAAAATATAACAAAAATAAAGGCTAAGATTGTTTTGCTTTTGGGAATATTATTGGTATTCTCAAAAAAGTTAAACAATACATTATTATTAAAATATTATTTTATATTTATATTTTTTAATTTAATTAAATTTTTTAATTTTATTTTTAAATTATAAAAATGCCCGATTATCCTCACACGGTGGTGGTTGACTATCGGTGAACTATTTTTAAATTTTATATAGTAATATCTGTCTAATTTAATTTTTTTAAATATTATTTTAAAAATTATCAAAATAATTATCAACCCAAAGTTTCAATTGATCATCGTAATGAGATTGATGTTTAAAAAAAAAAACATGTTTTGTCAGTGACTAAAGCGAAGAAAACAAGCTCGAAATGTGTACCCTAAAGATACAGGGAAAAAAGCTGGTCCAGGCAAAGACAAGACACCTGTGACTAAATGACCATCTTACGCGGGAATCGTAAAATATATCCCAAGTGCATTGAACTTCACGCAAAATTAGGGGAGAATGAATTTCCCAAGGGTAGGCTTAACTGAAGGACAGAATAGTCAATTCAACTTTTTAAAATTTTTTATTAAAATCCCCTAATTAACTTTTTATCTCCTTCTCTCTCTCCCCCTCCCTTCTCCAAGACCTTATCTGGCCGGGTCGCCTCTTGCCCAACACAGACTAAAATCATTTTCTCTCCTATGCTGGCAGGCTCCAACTGATCATCTCGGTGCTCTCTTCTTTTCAAGTCTACTGGGCTTCGTTGTTTGTCCTTCCCAGTTGAAATGGTGACTAATGCTATGGAGAAATTGATGCGTTCCTTTCTGTGGTCAGGGAGTGAGCTGATAAAAGGTAAGGTGAGAGTTGCTTGGAAGGATGTGTGTTAGCCCAAGAATGAGGGGGGACTGGGTATTCGGCCTCTGAGAAGGAGAAATTATTCCCTGATGGCTTATCATCTCAGGAGCATTTTGTTGAGGAGAGAGTCTATGTGGGTTAAGTGGGTTCATACATATAGGCTGCGGGGAAAAAAATTTGGACTGTTCGAGTTGCTTGGGATGCCAGCTGGGGCTGGGCTTAAATTCTCAGTACGAGGGAAGAATTTAGAAAGCACATAAGGGTTAATGCGGGTGCAAAATACATCCTTGTGGTACGACAATTGGCACCCGATGGGCCCTTGGAAATGATCAGTCCTTACAGAATTTTCTTTAACTCGGGTCTAACTCCAGAAGCCAAGGTGAGTGATATTATAAGGAACCAACAATGGACCTGGCCGAATGTGATTAGGTATAATTTCCCTTTGGTAACCAGCCACAGTCTTCCAATTCCAATGTCACAGGAGAGGATGTTATTTTTTGGCAGGATAGGGAAGGAAAAAGAACAAAATTTTATACCAAACAGGTCTGGAAAGATTTAAACCAAGCAACTTTATCCCCCTGGAGCACCTTGATATAGAATGGCACCTGCATTCCTTGCCATTCTTTTATTGCTTGGCTTACTATAAAATGTAAACTCTGTAGATGCAAAAAATCTACCGTCATGAAAATAGGGTGTGATCCCGTGAGGTTGAGGTCACTGACAATCCATTAGACCTACACACATGAAAGGGCAAGTGTGAAGCTTTCGGAAAACACCAAGGTGGTGTTTGCCGTAGGCACTCCGACGCTCAAGTCAGCAAGGCTGAAAGAGATTTAATAAGAATTAAGGAGAAGAAGAATTACCAAGGTCTTGTCGGAGGCTAGGACTACGGCGGAGGCGTCGGGTTCTTGGGAGCAAGAACTTAGGAGCAAATAGATGGTTTTGAGTGGTGTAGATTGACTGTGAGAGATTGCATGCTTAATGAGAGGGCAAACCTTTGTTTTTATAGTGAACCTAAGGGGTTGGAATCCTAGTAGGGCATTGAGTCCTCTTTTGGGAGATAATCCCTATCATAAAAGAGATATGATTTCTTAACCTTATCAGATTAAGTTTAATAGTTTAAATAAGAGTTGGAATCTTAGTAGGACACTAAGTCCTATTTTGGGAGATAATCTCTATCATGAAAGAGATATGATTTCTTAACCTTATCAGATTAAGTTTAATAGTTTAAATAAGAGTTGGAATCTTAGTAGGACACTAAGTCCTATTTTGGGAGATAATCCCTATCATGAAAGAGATATGATTTCTTGACCTTATCAAATCAAGTTTAATAGTTTGAGTGAGATTTGAAATCTTAGTAAAAGAGGAAATAGAATGAGATTCTGATTTCCTATTTATACTCTGTTGCAGGCTAATGGGCTGAAACCCAGTTTAGCTTAACTTATAGGATAGCCCAACTCATAGAGTGGGTAAGTCGCAAGGTGATTTTAAGCATAGGTCCAATCGAGATTGGGTTGAGGCCTTGGGCCGTGATATGTTTATTTCGTTATTGGGCCTCGTCAAACCCAAGACGATTTTTGGCCTTAACAAACTCCTAACACAAGATAGAATGAGAGCCTGGGTTCATTCGGATTAGTTAATTGAATAATATTTACTAACAACTCTCTCTAACAAACTTTCTTTCATAACCTTGACGTGACAGCTCATAATTGGTTAATTCACAACGGGTTCTGCATGAGTTTCACTAAGATATATACTTGTGAATTGTGATGTGTATATATTGTTAGAATATTTTAACTTATTAGCTTTATAAATTTTTATAGTAATTTTGATTTCACTTATCTTAATAATTATTATTGTATACATAGATTATTGTTATCGTTTGGTTTTATTGAGTACATAGCTTATTTTGTTGCATTTTTCTCTATCAAGTAATAATATAATTCTGTTTTGAAATAGGATGGAGAGATATTTCAATAAAAGTCAACAAAGATCTCAACACTTGAACAAGAGGAAAATATTTCTGATTCAAGTAAAAATGTGGATGCTGATTTGTGAGATCTTCCTGCGGATCTAGGCTTAAGACCTCGAATTTCAGATTATAATCCTAATATTGAAGATCAAATTCAAAGAATATATTTGAAAAGGGGTCTTTGTCAACCTAAGGGCCATGAGTTTCCTTCTAGGTATTTTGGTGGATTTTCAAGACGTTTTGTTGTTTCTTGGTTTAGTGAATTTGATCAATGGTTGGAATATAGTGCAGTAAAAGATGCTACGTTCTGTCTTTATTGTTATCTTTTTATGCCAGATGGTGATAAAGGGGGTGGTGATCGCTTTGTTGGTCAAGGGTTTTCAAATTGGAAAAAGAAAGAAAAATTGAATATTCACATTGGAGGTTCTAATAGTACTCATAACTAAGCTCGAAGAATGTGTGAAACATTATTGAATCAAGATCAACATATTCAGAAATTTTTTTATCGACATTCTTTTCAAGCACGAGCAGAGTATCGAACTCGTTTAAATGCTACAGTTGACTATCTTCGTTTTCTTTTAAGGTGAGGACTAACATTTTGTGGTTATGATGAATCCTATCATTCAAGCAACTGAGGGGATTTTCTCGAGTTTCTACAATTTCTTGCTAATCATAATTAAGATTACAATGCTGTTGCTTTCAAGAATGCTCCTGATAATCTCAAATTGACATCACCCGAGATTCAAAAAGACATTGTAAGTGCTGCTTTAAATGAAATCGTAAATGCTATCATTAGAGATTTTATAGATTCATTATTCGCTACAATGATTGATGAATCTCGTGATTTTTCTAGGAAGGAACAAATGATTATTGTCTTACATTATGTTAACAAGAATGAACTTGTTGTGGAGCGTTTTTTAGGTGTTGAACAAGTTACTAGTACCACAACTCTCTCACTCGAGGCAACATTTGATAATTTCTTATCAAGGCATGGGTTGAGTTTTTCTAGATTGCGAGGACAAGGTTATGGTGAAGTTAGTAATATGCAAGGAGAATTTAATAGTTTGAAGACACTAGTTTTGAAAGAGAATAGATGTGCTTATTATATTCATTGATTTACCCATCAGCTTCAATTGACTCTTGTGGCTTTGGCAAAGAACCATGATGATGTTAATGATTTTATTAATATCGTGACGATTGTGGTTAATATCGTCGGTGCTTATTATATTCATTGTTTTGCCCATCGACTCTAATTGGCTCTTATGGCTTTGGCAAAGAACCATGATGATGTTAATGATTTTTTTTAATATCGTGACGATTGTGGTTAATATCGTCGGTGCTTCGTTAAAGCATTGTGATTTTCTTGGAGATAAGCAAGCTTGTAAAGTTATTGAAGCTCTTTCTAGTGGTGAACTTTCAAATGGAAAAGGCCTCAATCAAGAGACTAATCTACAACGTGCCAGTGATACGCGTTGGGGCTTGCATTATGGTACGGTAATTAGCATAACCTTGATGTTTTCATCTATTGTCGATGTTCTTGAAATTATGGCAAAAGATGGGTTACACTCTGAGCAAAGATTTCATGCAAAAAACATATTTAAATTGATGCAATCATTTAACTTTGTGTTTAGTCTATTTTTTATGAAAGATATACTTGGCTTTACAAATGAATTTTCTGAAGCACTACAAAGAAAATATTAAGATATTATAAATGTTATGAATTTGGTTGAAACATGTAAGCAAACTTTACAATTGATGAGGGATAATGGATGTGAGACTTTATTAAGCAAAGTTTGTTCTTTTTGTATCAATCATGACATTGATGTTTCTAATATGGATGATAAGTTTTTTATTCAAGGGTGATCACAACGTAAGGCTCAAGGTATCGCAAACGTGCATCATTACCGCATTGAATTATTTTATAATGTCCTAAATATGCAGCTTCAAGAGTTGAATAATCGTTTCAATGAGGTAAACATTAAATTGCTTATTTGTTGGTATGTTATGTCCAAATGAATCGTTTGTTGCTTTTGATAAACAGAAATTGATACGCCTTGTCGAACTTTATCTAGATGATTTTTCTGACTTAGAACTCATGACACTTGATTCTTAACTTGATGTTTATGTTTTTTATATGTACTCTAATGTCAAATTTATGGGATTGAAAGGAATTAGAGACCTGACAAAAATGATGGTTGAAATTAAGAAGGATATAGTTATTTCATTAGTTTATTTGTTAATAAAATTAGCATTGATTCTACCCGTTACCATTGCTAATATAGAAGATGAGTTCTTGGAACCACATTGTTTAACCTATTTTTATTTTTGTTATATAAAAGTGTTTGATTCAAATGGATGGAGTTGGCTAATGACAATTTTGTGTTGTTTCTCTTATGGAAAAGATGGGTTCTTCATTATTGGCACTACATTGTTTTACTCATTTTTATATTTGTTATAAAAAAGTGTTTGATTCAAATGGGAGGTAATTTTAATTGTTTTACAAGTGTTATAAAAAAGTGGATTTAATTGTACAAGTGTTTGGTTATTTGAATAGATTTTTTACACATATCAATTCAATTTTAGGCAATGTATATAATGTAAGATATATTTAAAAAAAAAATTATTGAATTAAGATTTATTTCAATTCAATTTTTATTATTTTAATTTAATTTTTATTAAAATACTTACAAATTAGAAAGAGAAAGATATATACTTGTGAATTGTGATGTGTATGTATTGATAGAATATTTTAACTTATTAGCTTTATAAATTTTTATAATAATTGTGATTTCACTTATCTTAGTAATTACTATTGTATACATAGATTATTGTTATCGTTTGGTTTTATTGAGTACATAGCTTATTTTGTTACATTTTTCTCTATCAGATAATAATATAATACTTTTTTTAAATAGGATGAAGAGATATTTCAAAAGAAAGTTAACAATGATCTCAACATTTGAACAAGAGAAAAATATTGCTGATTCAAGTAAAAATGTGGATGTTGATTTGCGAGATCTTCTTACGGATCTAGCCTTAAGATCTCGAATTTCAAATTATGATCCTCATATTCAAAATCAAATTCAAAGAATATATTATTTCTTTAGTTGTTTTTATCTTTGTTTTTCTATTTTCTCTGTTCTTAATTCTGTTCGTTTTTAAAAAATATATTTTAGGGGTATCTTTCACTTGAGCCATGAAAATTCGCGTGTTTGAGTTGATAATGCCGAAATCAGCTGCGCATCCTCCCGATCTATCTTCCGCTACTCAGTTTGAGGCTATGCGCTGGATGGATCTCAATCTTAACGGTGGTAACAGTATCCTTTGGGATCTTCTTCATGAATCCATCTATCTGGGGTCTTCTTCGGACATTCCACCACCACGTTCTTCCCAGGTAGGTGATTGCGAAAGTGCTTTTTTTTTTTTTTTAAAATTTTTAAATTTAAAATTTAGGAAATACTGCACAAACCATAGTTCCTTTATCATTAATGGGTTTAAATTAATTTCCGAAAACTTATAACACCACCCCAGTTGAAATTAGGATTCTAAAACCTTAAAACCCAACCAAAAAAAAAAAAAAAAAAAAATGGCTTAATTCAAATTAGATCTAAAATTTAAATATGGCATTTAAAGTAATATCTAACGATTTTCTTTAAAGTTAGAAAGATATGAAAAATATGATAAAGCAGCTTTATAATTTTTTTTAAAAAATTGTTTAGAAAATCATTTTTGGATAGAAGATAAATCAATTGCATTTTCTTAAATTTTCTTGTTTTTTTTTTGTTTATGAAATAAAAAATTGTATCTAAAATTTTATAAAGAAAATATATAAAAGTTAGAGAAAAGCCGGGACTGTTTACTCAAATTTCTCTCTCAAATAGGATTAATTCATTTAGGGGTTGTTTGTTTTTATCATTTTTCACTTAAATCTATATAGTTTAAGTCTTTGATTGTTATTTTTTATTTATACAAATTATCACTTATTTTTATATAGAATCACTTGATAATTTATTTTTTTGAAAAATAGTTTTCAGAAAAACATGTCGAATCCATTTTTATTGAAAGGAGTTTTTTGACAACAAAATATAACAAAAATAAAGTTTCAATTGATCATCGTAATGAGAATTGATGTAGATTAAATCCTTTTTTGATGTTTTGTTTTCTAAAAGAAAATACTACATGTTTTGTTAGTTGACTAAAGCGAAGGAAACAAACTCGAAACGTGTCCCACTCAAACAAAAGATACAGGGAAAAGAGCTTGTCCAGGGAAGACAAGACACCTGTGACTCTCTTCACACGGAACTTATTAAAACATATCCGAAGTGCATTGAACTGCACGCAAAAATAAGGGAGAATGAATTTAGGGTATGCTTAATGAAGGGCAGAATAGTCAATTCAACTTTTGAAATTTTTTTTATTAAAAACCCCTAATTAACTTTTTTTCTCCTGCTCTCTCTCCCCCTCCCTCCTCCAAGACCTTATCTGGCCGGGCCGCCTCTTGCCCAACACAGACTAAAATCATTGTCTCTCCTATGCTGGCAGGCTCCAACTGGTCATCTCGGTGCTCTCTTCTTTTCAAGTCTACTGGGCTTCGGTGTTTATCCTTCCCAGTTCAAATGGTGACTAATGCTATGGAGAAATTGATGCGTTCCTTTCTGTGGTCAGGGAGTGAGCTGATAAAAGGTAAGGTGAGAGTTGCTCGGAAGGATGTGTGTAAGCCCAAGAATGAGGGGGGACTGGGTATTCGGCCTCTGAGGAGGAGAAATTATCCCCTAATGGCTTATCATCTCAGAAGCATTGTGTTGAGGAGAGGGTCTATGTGGGTTAAGCGGGTCCATACGTATAGGCTGCGGGGAAAAAAATTGGACTGTTCGAGTTGCTTGGGATGCCAGCTAGGGCTGGGGTAAAATTCTCAGGACGAGGGCAGAATTTAGAAAGCACATAAGGGTTAATCCGGGTGCAAAGTACATCTTTGTGGTATGACAATTGGCACCTGATGGGCCGCAGAATTTTCTTTAACTCGGGTCTAACTCCAACAGCCAAGGTGAGTGATATTATAAGGAACCAACAATGGACCTGGCCCACTTCTGCCCCGCCACGGCCCGTCTGTCATAGTCAACTGGGCTGCTGTGAAATTTTGAGGAAAGAAAATGTGGGCTGCTGTGAAATTTCTAGGATTGGAGCAATGTTCTTAGCAAGCAGGTTTTGTGTTCGGACAAACAGATTTTTATTCAGTTGGTTATCTGGGTTCTTTACTGGTTTTGCTTATTGTATTATTTGGGCGAGCATATGGCTTTTGCGTCCTACATTTTCTGGTTAAGTTTTTGCACATGGCTAGGCCTGGTCATCTTTAACTCTTGATGGGTACTGCATCTCTTGGGCCGTCTGTTAGGGTGGTAGCCATGAAGTAAAAAGTAATTGAGTGGAATGGGTTCTATCTGCTTTTTAGGAACAGGCCGACTACATGGATGGGCCTGAATATGGGGCACCTCAATGGGTGGGCTGAAGTTCGAATGGGTTTTAACCGGGACTTGTTTGCTGGCAAAGAAATCTTGGTTTCAGGGTTTGCGCGTGGGCTTGTTTGCTGTCAAAGAAGGTTTAGCTCCTCACGGATCTTCAGTCTGTTTTTTGTGTAGATTTTTTCATGCTTGTGATCCTTGTTTGCTGGGGCCTGTTTTTTTGTGTTCATGGCCCAAGCTTGTATAATTTTGTATATCCTCCCAAGGCTTTTTGTTTTGCTATCTCCTTGGGCCTGTCTTAGCGTGTCGGAAGCCTTCCCCTATTTTTTGTTTTTATTATTTGCAATACAATTAGGCTCCTACGTGGCGGGTTTGGTTGGGAAGTGAAATTTAAGGGGGGTTTGTAGGCTTGATTAGGTTGATCTACTCAACATTGGCTTTAAGGAGTGAGTGCACTTCTCTCTGTTTGATTTGGTGTAGTATTTTCATAATTCATCTCTTAATTGTAGTGGAGAGTTTATAAGGTTAGTTTTTCATCAGAGATTTTTGTGGCTTGTTCTATTTTTGATTTTAGGGGAACTCGTTTCATTTTTTCATTTTGTTATCATTTTCATCGTTTCCGATGTACTTTTTTCGTTTCTTCAATTCAATTGGGGTATATTTGGAGGTGGGTTTCTCTGTATTGTGATTAATTATTCTTTCTCTGTTGATTTGGTTTAGGCTTTTTATTTTCTCTTCATTATTTGTTTGCGCCAGGGTAGAGTTTTAGTTTAATAGGATGTGGGTCTTCTCTCTGTTTGATTTGCTTAATATTTTTATAATTCATCTTTTAATCTTATGCTCCTTTTCTTTTTTTAAAATTTCAGGGAAGTGGAACGTGATTGCTGTGCTTAGCGGAGAGGTTATAAGGTTAGTTTTTCATCTTCTTGTTCTATTTTGATTTCTTCAGTTTGTTATTATTTTCATTGTTTTGGATGCACTTCTTACCAACGAAGGCTTTTTAACGGTTTGAGAAACTGTGCTCCTTTGAAATTGAAGTTTCAAAAAGTCTTTGATGTAAATTATTTTTTTTGGTGGCCCAAATTTCATTGCAAAGTTAATCATTCAAATTGCCATCAAATACAAAGTTAGATAGCAGTAGTCGATATCAAACTGATGGCCAGCTACTATGAGATGTGTGTTCAATGAACACTTGGTTGAAAATGCACATAGTTTTTAAAATGCTTTCATTGCTGTGCTTTGTTATCCATGGCTGCAACAGCAGACTTGTTGTACTCTTCCAATTCCTTATTGTATGCTTCCATTGTTTCAGCAGCCTTAGCATTCTACACTTGTTTCTCCTCTTCATTGAGTTCATTCCATTTCACTGCAATCAGTGCATTAATGTTAAGAGTTGTTAGTCCTTGGCTGCTACTGCAGCAAAGCTTGCCTTGATTCTTTGCTGAACAAAAGGAATGGGGAAGCAGGCTTCTTAGGCTTGTTAGGATCAGTGTTCTGCTTCTTGATTATGTTTTCAGTCTTTTCTTTCTTCTTAAGCAGTTCTATGGCTTACTGTTTATGCAGTTTCATCAGCTCCTCCTCTTCCTTTTCGAGATTGTTAGCTTCCTGATCCTTCATTTGTTTGTAGGCCTCCATTTCTAGAGCATTTTTCTCTCTGTTCTTCTTTGCCATCTCTTCATAAGGCCCTCTTTCTTTTTTTGTCACGTTCTTCCACTCTTCACCAGTTATCTCAGCCACCTCCAAAACATTCTTGTTCTCTGCTAGAAGAGCTGCTGACATAGACCTCTTGACGTAGCCGACAAGTTGTAGGGCAGTTAGATCTCAACAATTAGGGCTAGAATAGGGTGCTTGTGGTTGGAACAACAAGAATAATTAGGTTTAATGAAAACCTTTGAATTAAAATTCTGAACTAAAGAAAAGATACAATACGCAAACTGACTATTACTGTCCTATTCATACTAGTTAGGAAAAATCCTAATTCTAGACTGAAAACTATTCCTAATAAATATTTTATTAAATAGGAATCCTAAATAAAGAAGGAAAACTGAGAAAAAACTGAAATCTTAATTTAACTTCCTAATTTAATTTAACTTGGACACATAAAAATTGGCTTTGAAACCACTTGACGTAGCGGAAGAGTTGTAGGGTGGTTAGATCTCAACAATTAGGGCTAGAATAGGGTGATTGTGGTTGGAACAATAGAAAATAATTAGGTTTAAGGAAAACCTTAGAATTAAAACAAAAGATACAATACGCAAACTGACTATTGTTGTCCTATTTATGCTAGTTAGGACAAATCCTAATCCTAGACTGAAAACTATTCCTAACAAATATTTTATTTAATACGAATCCTAAATAAAGAAGAAAAAGGAGGAGGGGGAAGAAGAACCTGAAAGCCTAATTTTACTTAATTTAACTTGGATGCTCCTGCATCAGCTGCCCTTCTTTCATTTGTGAAGAGGAAAAATGCAGTTATAGGACGCTTTGGTTTCAATGGATCCTTCTTTTTCTTTGTCTTCTTGTTCTACTTTTCTGCTTCCTTTTTGAACAGAAGATATTGATCAAGCAGCTCCGTAGCTGTTTTCTGTTTCTGGTCCTCCTCCAGGAGTTTCATTCCTTCACTTTCACGCTTCTCCTTGGCCATTACCTGCAAATAGGCTTCCTTCTCAGCCTGATATTTCTCCTCATAAGGTTTCTTCTCTCCTGCACTAATATTTTTCCATCTTGCACCCAAAATGTTTGAGATCTCTTTGAATTCTGCCTTTGGGTTCTCTTCTTCACCTCATTCCATTAATCTTTGCACCAGAGAATTTAAGGTCGAGATGGTCTTTCCTTTTCAGGGCATCGCTTCTTCTTCTTCTCCTTCTTGTCTTGTTCCTTGTTTACCATAGGAAAAATCATGTTGGGCTTGAACTCCTTCATTTTCTGCAATTTCTTCAACTCCATCTGAAGCTTCTCCTGCCCTTTATCCTTCACATCAAGCTCCTCCTCCTTCGTCTTCAGCATTTCATTATTCTCCTTCAACAATTCCTCAGTCTTCTCCTTTTCTATTTTCATCTTCTCAAGCATTTCTTGCAAGTATATCTCAAAGAATCTTGATTTTTTGTTGTCTTCTTTGCTCATTCCTTGGGTGCTGCTTTCTTGGGCTTAGAGCGATGCTGAGAAAGGCTCTTATGTTTCTCCTTTGAAAGGTCAGCGTCTGCTGGAGGAACCATCATGGGAGATTGAGAGAGGGCTTGTGCAATGATGTTGGCATCATTTGTGGATGAATTTTTCTGTTTCAAAGCTCTTCTACTGTTGTTTCTTGGTTTCTTAGGGACGTTGTTGGTGGCCATGGCTTCATAGATGCAAAAAAAGAGAACAAAAGAGAAGCTTAAAACAATTTGAACAGGTTTTTTTGATGTAAATTAGGTGGCGATAACTGTTCTTGATTTGAAATATTCCTATTTTTTGTTCTGTTAGTGTATACTAAGTGATGCAATCATGTTAAATCAATTGTTATATCAATTATGATTTGGAGTTTCTAATTCAAGTGCATTGTTACTCTTTGCATACCTTGAAAGAAAAGCGTGAAAACATTCAATGATTACAACTGACAATCACTCTGCCTAAATTGGATGCAAAAACCCTGCTTAGTTATTAACTTGGCCATCATCTACTGCATGTTCTTTGGCTAAAGTTATGGCTGGAAGGAAGACAAGGAAGACTGAAGTTCTATTGGTAATGACATTGGCACTATCTCTATGTGCTGTTTTTGCTGATGCCACAACAAATTTTGCTGGGAATGTTGGCTTGACTCCGTATTACCGTCGGGAATGGACTGGCAACCACAATTTCCATGTCAATAACTCTCAAGGCTAGTTCTTCTCTCTTTTTCCTTTTCTTGTTATCTTCATTGATAGGCTATGGTGACAAGAAACTATATTATTATTTTCTTTTTACGACTCACAACCACCTACAGTACCAGATTCACCACAGGCATTGAGGCTGAAACCAGAACTAAACTCATCCTGATGGGTATTAATGTGCAGTTCAAAGAGTTCTTTAATTTGACTTATGTTTTATTATAAAAAGGGGATTACACTTTTGTTTCTGTACCCTTCAAACCCTTCTCAGAATTTACCTTGCATCTTTTGATTTAGCAGCATTCATGATTCTAGGAAAAGTAGTTTTATATACTATGGTAAATGAGCTGCAAATCTTTTGCATCTGTTTTCTTGACTTATTTTTGTTAGGATTCTACCTCCTTGGAAACTGATTGTCCCTTTTGATAGCTGTCTTAACTAAATCCCACAAATCTTGCAACAGGAAAATAATATTGCAACTTCACATGAATACTTGTGGCCATAGATAATGAAAGAAAAAGAAGGCTGGTTTTTTTAAGTTGGAGTGGGCTTTTGTCGAAGCTTTGATACCACAAATTGGTACTGTGCAATCAAAGAGTAACATTTTCTGTTTTGATAACTTTTCATTATAAGAAGGGGGTTATACTTATGTTACCTGAGAGGTTATCTGTATGTGGTTACAACTGGAAGGACTGGCTTTATTTATTCAAGAATTTGGAGTGTTTAAGAGACTGACATTTAATGTCATGTAGAAATCCTAAGCATATAAGTATTAATTCAAATGTAGAAATTTTAAAGATAAGTTTCAATTCATAGCATAATATGTTAAACGGTCTTGAATTATGAAGTGTCCTCTGGATAATGTTGTGGAGAAATTCACATTTTTGAAACTAATTCTTAGTAGGAACCTTATGTAAGACCTGAGTCTCTGAGCCATCAACCCATGGTTATTTGCTCTTTCTTCCCCTTTTGTCCTGGACAATTATTTAGTTGTGTTAATTTTATCTCTTTGCTAACAATTGATGGAAAATGGTTGGCTGTGATAGTATATCAATAGAAATTTGTGTATCAATATTATTGAATGGGTACAACTAATAGGAACATAGGAGCTCTAAAGTTTCTCCTACTGATATAACAAAGAGCTTATAATCTACTATATCGATGAATGAACTTGTAATTCCCTCTAGAAACAAGAAGTCGCTTATTAATTCCTCTATAGTGATTAAGGAATTTGTTATTTCTTTCCAAATGAACTCTAGAATTAAGAACTCTATTATGTCTTAGAATAAGAGCTTTAGTATGTGAACTTTATCTGTTTTAATAACATATAAATGCCCATTTGTAGAATTTGCATTGTGGTTGTACCTTTTAATGCATCATTTGCTTGCTGACTTAGTTGGATTTCACTGGCTCTGGAGCATGTTCTTGGCGACATTATGTGAGCTGATATGCACATATATATATTCGCTGTTATTCAGCTGTTAACTTCTTGTTCATTGCTATTTTAATTTCACTATGTATGGGCAGCATCTCCTTTAGAGAATGCTGCTAGAGCACCTCCTGTTTAGTTTTTCAAGACTGATTTGGGCAAATTGGCATTCATGAATTTCCTTACTAAAACCAAATCAGCGAATATAACAATGGTTTACACAGTGATCAAGCTGAGTCAACCAGGAACACGATTCTTCATCTCCGGTGGACCTGCGGACTGCAAAATGAAGCTCTACATCGATGTGCCCTCTCGGACTAGGCTCACTACCGTCAAGAACAACAGCTGTTGCTCGCAGCAAGAACTTTTGTTTCCTCCAGTGGTGAAGGTAATTTCTCATTGTGGTGCTTAGTTTAGCTTGTGGATGATTCTTTGAACTGCATCTTGAGTTGACTAACTTGATGTGTGCTTGTTGCTGGGAAAGTGAGAAGAAAATGACTTGTTTTTGGTAGATTAATGGATGGTTTGTTATTGGTTTTCATTTTTTTTGAGGTTGCTCTTTGGTGGTGTTAAAAGTAAAAAATTATCAATTAATTATAACAATTAACTTCCGAGAGCTCCTTGACCTCTGTGAGTGTGTTTTAGATCAAGGACCGCATGGTTCATTGCTTGGATTACTGGTGGAGCTGGTTTATTGCTGCCACTTCAGTTTCCTTCACAATTCCGTGCTTGATTAATTATTGTCAGAAGTTCTTTCTAACAAGTTTGTGTTGTTTAGTTGCATAATCGTGTACAAGTAATATTTAGAACAGCCCAAATTTCTTCGTCTTTCCCTCTTAAGTCTTCGATTTTTTGGGGGTGATTTCTTGATAATATGTCTTACTGTTCGTGTACAAGTAATATTTAGAACAGCCCAAATTTCTTCGTCTTTCCCTCTTAAGTCTTCGATTTTTTGGGGGTGATTCTTGATAATATGTCTTACAGTACTACTACTGTTTTTTATAGTTAATGTTTGTTTGGTTCATTTCTTGCAGCAAATGGGTGCTAAATTTATGTTTCTCCTAAGCTTCACATATGCTGCACCAACAACTCATCACGTTGGTTACACTTCAGGTTGGCATCGAGCTTACTACGCTATGTTTCTCTTAATCCAGCACTTAAGCTTCGCAAATGCTGCGCCAAGAACTCCAAAAATTCATTATGTTGGCGACTCTTTGGGTTGGGATCTTGGTTTGAATGTTCAACAATGGGCTGATTCCAATACATTTTCCGTCGGAGATACTTTAGGTAATTAATCTTCATCTTCTTTCTATTTTGTAAACTGTTCCACTGTTATTTTTTGGTATGTGATTTGACGGTTGTAAGGTGTCACATTAATTTGCCCCACAAAGTTTTTGTATACTTTATGATAACGATTTGAATTACTGGTATGATTCTTGGGCTAGTATTCCAATACACCGTAGAGCATGACGTGCTAGAAGTGGGGCAATTGGGTTACATCAACTGTGATGCAACGAACGCAATCCAAGGACACAACAATGGTTTCACCCGGATCAAATTGACTCAGCCAGGCCCACGATTCTTCATCTGCAGTCAACTTAGTTACTGCAATAATGGCCTCAGGATGGAGGTAGACGTTCGCCCCTAAGGGGGCGTTTGGTTTAGGGAATATTGTATTATTGGAATGTTATATTAATGAAAAAATAGATAACCTTGAAGATTATTGAAAATCTTATTAAAAATATGTTTGGTTGAATAGAATTAAATTGATGGATATGTTATATTGATATGCTTGGTTGGGTGGAATAAATTTGTAGGCATGTTATTACTAAATTGTCTTTATAATTTAATATTATTATATTATTATTTAACCCCAACATTTCAGATTTAGTTAAAACACCTCAACATCCAGAAAAGTTTAAAAGTTAACAAAAGCACTTCAACCATTGTCATAGGGCTGTTGGCTCTGTTTTAAAAATCGGATTGGACTAGTTGGTCCAACCGGTTGGACCGGGACTCGGGGCTTTCTTTGGGTTGGGTCACTCTTTTTAACTGTTTGAAGTTTAAAATATAACAAACATACCCTTGATTATTACCATCAGTCCCTGAAGGTTTCAAATCTAGTAAACACACAATCTGGTCAAATGCAAATCGACAATGATCTCCCCTTTTTGGGTGACCTTCCACCTTCCCTTATTGTCGGAAACCACCTTCTGAGTTCTGACTTTCTCCGACGCCGTCACACTTCATCTCCAGCCGTCACGTGACGTTTCGTCGTCCACCTTCGCCACGTGATTTTTCTTCCATTTCCCGGCGTCGATCAGCCTTCTTCGGCATCGACAGGCTTCCTCAGCCACTGATCTACCTTCTCCCAAGCTCTCTTGTCGTCGTTCACTAAGATCCAGTCATCTCACCAAAAAAAGCCACCGCGACCAGTGATTTCCACCATCGATCTGCCATTTTCCGGCGATGCCTCTACTTGCTAGCTGTCGATTCGCCCTCCCTATCATCCGATCTACCCTCCCTGGTGTGTCACCGCTGCTCTCCCAATCGATCGTCGATTTGCATTTGGCCAGGGTTGTGTTTGCTAGATTTCAAACCTATAGGGTTTGATGGTATTTATCAGGGGTGTTTTTGTTAGATTTTAAACTTGTCAAACCATTGGTTCAACCGGTTGGGCTGTCGGTTGAACCGATGGTTTGACAGGTTTTAAATCTAACAAAAACACCCCTGATAAATACGGTTGGACCGGTTGAACCGTGACCTGGCCATCAGAGCGGGTTGCCCTCCGGTCCGGTTTTTAAAACAATGGCTGTTGTTTGTTAGCCACCATTGTCGGTAGTCACTTGAACGACATACAGTTGATTGTGAGTAGATCTGTGGTATTTTCACGGCCACAAATTTGGTAGTGAAAAGGTGACCATTTTACAGTTAAAGATCTAGCCTTTTGACGTTAGATCTGTGGTCATTTTCGGCGCACGATTGATAAGATCCAGTCAATCGTGTATTGTTTTGGTAACTATCGATGGTGACCAGTGATGGTGGTAGGTAGTCGGTAGGCCTTTTGGGTGGTTGTGGTGGTAATTTGATTGAAGTGCAAAAATAATTTTGTCTTAAAAATCTAAAATATAAGGCTAAAATTGTCTATAAGTTTATTATAAATTGTTTAGATAACAAGGGTATTATAGTCCTAAAATTTTATTAATAAAGGGTAAAATTATAATAAAATTAAGATTATCAAGTAATTTTAAAATACCTAATAAAAGTAATTAGATTACTTTTTATATAATTAATAATAAAATTATAAAATCTTATATTATTTAAAGGGATAAAGATAATATTATAATATCTTCCAATGGGCTTCCTTAATTTGCTAACTTGGGTGCAATACGTGCCTCCACTTTTTGCGTTTCAATTGAATGCACTTTATCTTGTCTTCCAACAGTTAGATGACTGGTGCCATCAAATTTGAAAAGTCTGTACTAACTTTTTATTTTATTTTTCTCCCCTTATATTATATAAGTTTTGTAAACCAAAATTTACATATAGTAATGTCCACCTTTTACCAAAAACAAGTCATTTATAGGCTAGGGACATGGTAATAGCAGTCTCTGTTTACTCATGCTTGCTGCTTAAGACTCTCTTTTCCCTCTCCCCCAATTGAATGAATGGCGGGATTGACTCTCTAAAGAGAAGGTCATCTTCCACGTTTATACCATTTTTGGGCTTCCATTTCACCGGCGAGGAACTGAGACTTCTAGTAGTAATGAACTCAACTCATGGCCTCTGGTTTACTGGTTTCACTCTTTGCATCAGACCGTACTTTCCTCGCTTGGTACTTGCTAGCATAGCACTTTGCTCCCAACCAAATCTCCATGTGATCCCTACCCTCATCCATCAATAGCTGAAGGGTGGTAGTCTTAGGCGAAGACTTTTTTAAAGAATCCCTCCCTTCAGCGAAGGGCTAGACACTTCTATAGTGGGATCTCTTGGACCTATGAAACTCGTGAAATGGGTGAACCCCTTGCCCTTTCCCTGGCTCTGCCTTACATTTAGCTACTTTTATAATGTAAACGGTCCAATAACCGCTTATGAACTTATTTTAGATACGGGTGTGCAAAAAAATCTGATATCCAATCCAAAAAAACTGGATATTCGAAAATCCAGATCTGATTGCATTTTTGGAAAATCTGAATTTCCGAACCGATATATTGGATAAGTTATGCTAAACAATCGGATATCCGAATTCGATCTGGATTTTACTTAAACACACCTTTTTAATTTCCCCATTTGTTTAGCGGTTAACACATACCACTACAATGATACAATCTGTCAATCTCACTCTCTCAACAGTCGAGACCATCACCATTTTCACTTACCCCCTCAGCTCTTTCACTCCTTTTACAGTCAACCAGCAGCAGTGACTTAGGCCCTAATAACAAAATCCCTCAAATTTAAAAGGTAAATTTTGAGAAATCCTATTACCGTAATCCCTGAATGCGAAGAACTGGGTAATGTTTCATTTAATTTCATAGAGAGAGAAGAAATCCCAAGCTAGTGCAAACGTACTCCTCAACACTAACTTCTTCTTCTTCTCTCAAGTTTTTGACAGACATTTTTTTTTTTTTTTTTGTTACAATAATCTGTAAAGAAAGGTACAAGACTGTTATCATCATCATCATCAAATTCCACCAAAATCTTTCTGTTGGTGGTTTTTCTTTCTTTCAGCTCAATACATTTGGATCTGACCTTTTTTTGTTGCTAGTTTTGTTTTTAGATTATTATATTTTTTTATTATTATGATGGGTTTTTGTAAGGCTACACCTTTGCGTTTTAATGGCTAATGTTTTGTATAGTTTTTCTTTCTTTTCTACTACAATTTTTAGAGATTACATTGCTTTAGCTTGATTTTCTATAGTAATGGAATTTTCAAGAAAAGAAACGAGCAGGACACTTTTTTTTTTTTTTTTTTTCCAGTTCTGTTTCTGATATTGCTCTGTTTTTCCGGTTTTCTGTAAAACTGTTGATTTCAAATTATACTCTTTGTTAGGTGGGTTTTTAACTGAAGAGTGGAGGAATTATTTAATTTTAAAAAAATTTGTTAAATTCGGATCAATTTGGATATCCGGATGTTCCGATCCGAAAACCAAATATCTTAAAATCCAAATTGGATTCAGATCAGGTTTTATCTTGACCGAATACTTGGATCGAATAAAAAAAGTCCTCAACCGGATTTTTGTTTTGCACAACCCTAATTTTAGGATCTAATAAAAGTAAAATTTTAAAATCCCCCTCTTATAGTTAATATCAATCGAACCCAGGTATAAGTCCGGGTTTCCAGCTTGGGTAACCCGACTCGAGTTTAAAACCTGGTTTTATCTTGGAGCCGGTTTGGATTTAAAAACAGTGTAGAGTGATTAGTTTATCCTGAAATTAGCTCTCTCTTCCGAAATTAAAAAATTAAAACTACTTTTTAAATTTTTTATCCCTTTTCTTTCATCCTCTTCCGACCTGAGGCTCCATCTCATGGGCTAGCAACCGCAATTCCAAGTCATCGCCAAATCGTACTCCCTAACAAGCTTTTGGTTATTGAGACTTTTTTTTTTTTTTTTTTCTGAATTAACCCTCAACAAGTTCAGGTTTATGATATTTTTTTTTTTTTGAACACAAAATTGAGTGAGTAGAGATCCTAACCTACCACAACAATCAAATAGCACTTCCCATTTATAGAGATGACTTTGCGTCAGTTTGGGAGAATTTTTTGTGGTTGAGTGATGAATACTGATGATGGTTGGCTGCGGAAGTTTTTGGTGGTGCTCAGGAGATTTCAAGGCCTTCAGTTTACCATGGATGATGGCACGTTGCTTACCGGGATATTGGTCTTGTTTTTTTTGTTTTTGTTTTAATATGTGATTTCTTATAGTTTTGTATGATGGGACAAGAGTTGGAAGGTGTTACAGTGAGGGTGGATTGGGATTGGGAGGATTGTTTGGGTGGCGTTTGTTGTCGGATTTTTTTTCCCGGCGGTGGAGTGTTGCAGGTTGGGTTCTGAAACAATAGGGTTGGTTATTACAAACTTACAATTAACCCCTCAAAATATGCATTTTCCCCCCTCTTTTTTACTTTGCTTGATTGAGAAATAAAATCAAGCAATTTAAAAAGCTATCACGCATAACCATAAGTTTCAATGCTTAGTAAATCACAAAATTAAAAAATCAAATAATAAACGTGTATGTGATCTCATTTGAGTGAAAAAAAAAAAAAGAAAAAAAACAAAAAAAAAAAAGTTTTTTGTTTACATTTTGGGAAAAAAAAAAAAAAGAAAAAAAGAAAAAGAAAGGAGTTTATGATACTGTTATAATATGATTAATTATATTAAACAAATGGATTGATAATTAATAAGAAGAGTTTTCATTTTTATAAACACAAATATTAATAATTAATGATTAGTAGATTTAAAGTATAAATATAAAACGGTCATTTTGAAAATATATGGGGTTTATTTAGACATTAAATATATTTCAAAATTTAATTAGGTAAATTTAGAAGAGGCATTTAGTAGGATAAATAGTGGGGTGCAAATAAAACCACTCTTTAAGAACTAGGCCTCATGAGAATTTTATATAATATTTTTATAAGAAAATTAATGATTTTTTATCAAGTTAAAATTTGTTTAATTACATTATTATTAGTTTAATTAACATTTAAAAGTGAAATTTATCTTCAATTACTTCTTTTTCGGTGGCCTATTCTATTTGAAATTAAAGTTTTCAAAAATACCAACA